AGGTGAGGGGAGGAAGCAGGTGAGGGGAAGGGAGCAGGTGAGGGGAGGAAGCAGGTGAGGGGAGGATACGAGGGGAGGTTATGAGGGGGCGGCAATGGCTTCTCCATGCCAACAGCCCTGCTGACTCCTCCTCGCCCTGCTCCTCTAGTTGGTGGAATTAAAGGTATGGAGGAGGGGAATGGCAGGGGGGAAGTGGTGAGGAGTGCTGCTTCCGACTAGCTATAGGTGAGGGGAGAAAGCAGGTGAGGGGAAGGGAGCAGGTGAGGGGAAGGGAGCAGGTGAGGGGAGGAAGCAGGTGATGGGAAGGGAGCAGGTGAGGGGAGGAAGCAGGTGAGGGGAAGGGAGCAGGTGAGGGGAGGAAGCAGGTGAGGGGAAGGGAGCAGGTGAGGGGAGGAAGCAGGTGAAGGGAAGGGAGCAGGTAAGGGGAGGAAGCAGGTGAGGGGAAGGGAGCAGGTGAGGGGAGGAAGCAGGTGAGGGGAAGGGAGCAGGTGAGGGGAGGAAGCAGGTGAGGGGAAGGGAGCAGGTGAGGGGAGGAAGCAGGTGAGGGGAAGGGAGCAGGTGAGGGGAGGAAGCAGGTGAGGGGAAGGGAGCAGGTGAGGGGAGGAAGCAGGTGAGGGGAAGGGAGCAGGTGAGGGGAGGAAGCAGGTGAGGGGAAGGGAGCAGGTGAGGGGAGGAAGCAGGTGAGGGGAAGGGAGCAGGTGAGGGGAGGAAGCAGGTGAGGGGAAGGGAGCAGGTGAGGGGAGGAAGCAGGTGAGGGGGAGGGAGCAGGTGAGGGGAGGAAGCACGTGAGGGGAAGGGAGCAGGTGAGGGGAGGAAGCAGGTGAGGGGAAGGGAGCAGGTGAGGGGAGGAAGCAGGTGAGGGGAAGGGAGCAGGTGAGGGGAGGAAGCAGGTGAGGGGAAGGGAGCAGGTGAGGGGAGGAAGCAGGTGAGGGCAAGGGAGCAGGTGAGGGGAGGAAGCAGGTGAGGGGAAGGGAGCAGGTGAGGGGAGGAAGCAGGTGAGGGGAAGGGAGCAGGTGAGGGGAGGAAGCACGTGAGGGGAGGAAAGCAGGTGAGGGGAGGAAGCACGTGAGGGGAAGGGAGCAGGTGAGGGGAGGAAGCAGGTGAGGGGAAGGGAGCAGGTGAGGGGAGGAAGCAGGTGAGGGGAAGGGAGCAGGTGAGGGGAGGAAGCAGGTGAGGGGAGGAAGCAGGTGAGGGGAGGGAGCAGGTGAGGGGAAGGGAGCAGGTGAGGGGAGGAAGCAGGTGAGGGGAAGGGAGCAGGTGAGGGGAAGGGAGCAGGTGAGGGGAGGAAGCAGGTGAGGGGAAGGGAGCAGTTGAGGGGAAGGGAGCAGGTGAGGGAAGGGAGCAGGTGAGGGGAAGGGAGCAGGTGAGGGGAGGAAGCAGGTGAGGGGAGGGGAGCAGGTGAGGGGAGGAAGCAGGTGAGGGGAAGGGAGCAGGTGAGGGGAGGAAGCAGGTGAGGGAAGGGAGCAGGTGAGGGGAGGAAGCAGGTGAGGGGAAGGGAGCAGGTGAGGGGAGGAAGCAGGTGAGGGAAGGGAGCAGGTGAGGGGAGGAAGCAGGTGAGGGGAGGAAGCAGGTGAGGGGAGGGAGCAGGTGAGGGGAAGGGAGCAGGTGAGGGGAAGGGAGCAGGTGAGGGGAAGGGAGCAGGTGAGGGGAAGGGAGCAGGTGAGGGGAGGAAGCAGGTGAGGGGAAGGGAGCAGGTGAGGGGAGGAAGCAGGTGAGGGGAAGGGAGCAGGTGAGGGGAGGAAGGAAGCAGGTGAGGGGAAGGGAGCAGGTGAGGGGAGGAAGCAGGTGAGGGGAAGGGAGCAGGTGAGGGGAGGAAGCAGGTGAGGGGAAGGGAGCAGGTGAGGGGAGGAAGCAGGTGAGGGCAAGGGAGCAGGTGAGGGGAGGAAGCAGGTGAGGGGAAGGGAGCAGGTGAGGGGACGAAGCAGGTGAGGGGAAGGGAGCAGGTGAGGGGAGGAAGCACGTGAGGGGAAGGGAGCAGGTGAGGGGAGGAAGCACGTGAGGGGAAGGGAGCAGGTGAGGGGAAGAAGCAGGTGAGGGGAAGGGAGCAGGTGAGGGGAGGAAGCAGGTGAGGGGAAGGGAGCAGGTGAGGGGAGGAAGCAGGTGAGGGGAGGAAGCAGGTGAGGGGAGGGAGCAGGTGAGGGGAAGGGAGCAGGTGAGGGGAGGAAGCAGGTGAGGGGAAGGGAGCAGGTGAGGGGAAGGGAGCAGGTGAGGGGAAGGGAGCAGGTGAGGGGAGGAAGCAGGTGAGGGGAAGGGAGCAGGTGAGGGGAGGAAGCAGGTGAGGGCAAGGGAGCAGGTGAGGGGAGGAAGCAGGTGAGGGGAAGGGAGCAGGTGAGGGGACGAAGCAGGTGAGGGGAAGGGAGCAGGTGAGGGGAGGAAGCACGTGAGGGGAAGGGAGCAGGTGAGGGGAGGAAGCACGTGAGGGGAAGGGAGCAGGTGAGGGGAAGAAGCAGGTGAGGGGAAGGGAGCAGGTGAGGGGAGGAAGCAGGTGAGGGGAAGGGAGCAGGTGAGGGGAGGAAGCAGGTGAGGGGAGGAAGCAGGTGAGGGGAGGGAGCAGGTGAGGGGAAGGGAGCAGGTGAGGGGAGGAAGCAGGTGAGGGGAAGGGAGCAGGTGAGGGGAAGGGAGCAGGTGAGGGGAAGGGAGCAGGTGAGGGGAGGAAGCAGGTGAGGGGAAGGGAGCAGGTGAGGGGAGGAAGCAGGTGAGGGGAAGGGAGCAGGTGAGGGGAGGAAGCAGGTGAGGGGAAGGGAGCAGGTGAGGGGAGGAAGCAGGTGAGGGGAAGGGAGCAGGTGAGGGGAGGAAGCAGGTGAGGGGAAGGGAGCAGGTGAGGGGAGGAAGCAGGTGAGGGGAAGGGAGCAGGTGAGGGGAGGAAGCAGGTGAGGGGAAGGGAGCAGGTGAGGGGAGGAAGCAGGTGAGGGGAAGGGAGCAGGTGAGGGGAGGAAGCAGGTGAGGGTAAGGGAGCAGGTGAGGGGAGGAAGCAGGTGAGGGGAAGGGAGCAGGTGAGGGGAGGAAGCAGGTGAGGGGAAGGGAGCAGGTGAGGGGAGGAAGCAGGTGAGGGGAAGGGAGCAGGTGAGGGGAGGAAGCAGGTGAGGGGAAGGGAGCAGGTGAGGGGAGGAAGCAGGTGAGGGGAAGGGAGCAGGTGAGGGGAGAAAGCAGGTGAGGGGAAGGGAGCAGGTGAGGGGAAGGGAGCAGGTGAGGGGAGGAAGCAGGTGAGGGGAAGGGAGCAGGTGAGGGGAGGAAGCAGGTGAGGGGAAGGGAGCAGGTGAGGGGAGGAAGCAGGTGAGGGGAAGGGAGCAGGTGAGGGGAGGAAGCAGGTGAGGGGAAGGGAGCAGGTGAGGGGAGGAAGCAGGTGAGGGGAAGAAGCAGGTGAGGGGAGGGAGCAGGTGAGGGGAGGGGAGCAGGTGAGGGGAGGAAGCAGGTGAGGGGAAGGGAGCAGGTGAGGGGAGGAAGCAGGTGAGGGGAAGGGAGCAGGTGAGGGGAGGAAGCAGGTGAGGGGAGGAAGCAGGTGAGGGGAGGGAGCAGGTGAGGGGAAGGGAGGAGGTGAGGGGAGGAAGCAGGTGAGGGGAAGGGAGCAGGTGAGGGGAAGGGAGCAGGTGAGGGGAAGGGAGCAGGTGAGGGGAGGAAGCAGGTGAGGGGAGGGGAGCAGGTGAGGGGAGGAAGCAGGTGAGGGAAGGGAGCAGGTGAGGGGAGGAAGCAGGTGAGGGAAGGGAGCAGGTGAGGGGAGGAAGCAGGTGAGGGGAAGGGAGCAGGTGAGGGGAAGGGAGCAGGTGAGGGGAAGGGAGCAGGTGAGGGGAAGGGAGCAGGTGAGGGGAAGGGAGCAGGTGAGGGGAGGAAGCAGGTGAGGGGAAGGGAGCAGGTGAGGGGAGGAAGCAGGTGAGGGGAAGGGAGCAGGTGAGGGGAGGAAGCAGGTGAGGGGAAGGAAGCAGGTGAGGGGAGGAAGCAGGTGAGGGGAAGGGAGCAGGTGAGGGGAGGAAGCAGGTGAGGGGAAGGGAGCAGGTGAGGGGAGGAAGCAGGTGAGGGGAAGGGAGCAGGTGAGGGGAGGAAGCAGGTGAGGGGAAGGGAGCAGGTGAGGGGAGGAAGCAGGTGAGGGGAAGGGAGCAGGTGAGGGGAGGAAGCAGGTGAGGGGAAGGGAGCAGGTGAGGGGAGGAAGCAGGTGAGGGAAGGGAGCAGGTGAGGGGAAGGGAGCAGGTGAGGGGAAGGGAGCAGGTGAGGGGAAGGGAGCAGGTGAGGGGAGGAAGCAGGTGAGGGGAAGGGATCAGGTGAGGGGAGGAAGCAGGTGAGGGGAAGGGAGCAGGTGAGGGGAGGAAGCAGGTGAGGGGAAGGGAGCAGGTGAGGGGAGGAAGCAGGTGAGGGGAGGATACGAGGGGAGGTTATGAGGGGGCGGCAATGGCTTCTCCATGCCAACAGCCCTGCTGACTCCTCCTCGCCCTGCTCCTCTAGTTGGTGGAATTAAAGGTATGGAGGAGGGGAACGGCAGGGGGAAGTGGTGAGGAGTGCTGCTTCCGACTAGCTATAGGTGCCTGCTGGGGAAACTTTTTACTGTCATGTCAACCACACTACAGTAAAGCTCGGGTAGACAAATGTCAGGTTCATCATACATGCAGGCATAAGAAACAGAGGGTTAGAGATACTGTCGAAGGCTGCAGTAATGAGGATAAAAAGAACGGGACTCATGGTGGGATCGAGAGACGAGACGGTGTGCAGGGATTGGAAGGGAAGAGAGGAAAAGGGAAGGAAGGGAAAGGTAGGGAAGAGAAGGAAAAGGAAGGGGAGGAAAAGGAAAGGTAGGGAACGGAAAGGGAACGGAAGGAAAAGGGAAGGGAGGGTGAGGGAATGGAAAGGGAAGGGAAGGGAAAGGGAAGGGGATGGAAAGGGAATGGCAGGGAAGGAAAATGGGAGGGAAGGGAAGGAAAGGGAAGGGGAGGTAAGGGAAAGAAACGGAAAGGGAAAGGGAAGAAGAGGGAAGCGATGGGGCAGGGAGGAAAAGAGAGGGGAGGGGAGGTAACCTGTGCAAATGCTTCAACTGCAGCCTCGTAGTTGCCTGCTTGAGCCTGATAGGAAGCACGAGATAACGGAAATGAAGGATGAGGGAAACGCAGTGAAGCAAGGAAATCATCGAGCAGTGTGGAAGAGGAGTGCATGGAAGTGGAAACGTGGCAATGGTTTTGACAGTGTGTATGATAGAATGCAGCTGGAAAACAACGATGAGGTTTGAGAGGTATTTGACATGACATGAGGTGATTTGTGCACACAAAAACGTGTAGCAATGAACTGCGAGCGACCAGAGTCCCCTTTGAGAACTCGCATGAGTGACCCAGCTGTGTTGTTCACCCCCCCCCCCTGCTACTCACCAGCCCCACTGCTGCGTCGAGAGTCACGTCGCTGCCCCACCGCTTCTTTGGACGCCCAGCAGCTTTCGCCTTGCCTGAATTCCGCCTGGACTCTGCAGCTGCCTTCTCCTCTTGTTCCGCCTTCACCTTTTTCAACTTCTCTCTCCTGTATTCCTTCTCCTTCTCCTTCTCCTTCTCCTTCTCCTTCTCCTTCTCCTTCTCCTTCTCCTTCTCCTTCTCCCTCTCCTTCTTCTCCTTCTCCATCTCTTTCTCATCGTCCTTGATAGCAGATGTGCCCTCAGTGATTACCTTGACGTCCCCCTTGCCCTTCGCCTCGTTCTCATGCTCCGCCACACCGCCCCCCTCTTCCTCTCGTTCCTCCCCCTTCTCCTCCTTCTCCCTCCTCAATCGCCTCTCCTCTCTCCGCCCCCTCCCTCTCCTCCCCCTCTTCTACCTCCCTTCCTCCACTGCTATCTTATCACCTCGGTCCCCTCCCCTTTCCCTATCACCACCTGCCAACCCTCTCCCTTTGCCTCCTATCCCACCTCCCTCGCTCTCAACCTCTTCCTCTAGCTCCTGCGTCCTCTCTTTCCCCTCGTTTCTGACTTCGCTTCGTCCTTTCTCACTCACTCGATCCTCCCTTTCCCTTCGCTTGCTCCTTCCTCCTTTGCTCTCTCCTCCTCTCGCAACCGCTCTTCCCTCTCCCTTCTCTCCTTCTCCCTCTGTGCCCTCCGTCCCCCTCTCCGTCCCCTCCTCCCACCCTCAATCTCCTCCCTCTCCCCAGACTCTCCCTTCTCCCCTCCCTCAATCTTAACCCCACCAGACACATTTCCTTCCAATTTCTTCTCACGAACCCCATCCATCTTCTTACTCCCACTGCTTGACCCTTCACCAAACCCGTCTCCTGTCGCCAAGGTTGTTCCTTCCAATGCCCCCCCAGGCCGCTGATTTCCACCTGTGCTTCCTCGTCTTTCCTCCTCTCCCCCCTCTCCTCCCCCCCGCTCTCCCCCATCCTCTCCCCCATCCTCTCCCCTCTCCGCTCCCCATTTCTCTGCCCTCTCCTCTCCCCCCTCCTGGCCCATCTCCCCCACTGCCGCACTCAGCACTTCCACAACATCACCCAGGGAGGGAAACGCGTCCTCCACACTCAGGAGCTCCTTCAGGCGAGGCGAGTGGGTGAGAGAGGGGTAGAGCCAGGAGGAGACTGAGCGGAGGAAGAGGGCGGCTGAGGGGCAGAGGATGGACTCCCAGTCCACCTGCACAGTGGGATAGGGTAGGGGGATTGAAAGGCATGCAGGGAAGAATAGGGAAAGGTGTCACCCAGGGAAAGGAATGCATCTTCAACGCTCAGAAGCTCCTCGAGGGAGAAGAAAACAGAGGCAGGAGGGAACAGAGCGGAGGAAGAGGGCTGCTGAGGGGCACAGGATGGACTCCCAATCCACCTGCACGGCGGGGATAGGGGATCGGAAGGAGGCACATATGCAGGGACGGGCAGGCGAAGATGTTAGGTGAAGGAGTGAAGTTGCTAGCTGAGGGGCACAGGATGGACTCCCAGTCCCCCTGCACAGCGGGATAGGGTAGGGGGATTGAAAGGCATGCAGGGAAGAATAGGGAAAGGTGTCACCCAGGGAAGGCAGCGCGTCCTCCACACTCAGGAGCTCCTTCAGGTGAGGCGAGTAGGTGAGAGAGGGGTAGAGCCAGGAGGAGACTGAGCGGAGGAAGAGGGCAGCCGAGGGGCACAGGATGGACTCCCAATCCACCTGCACGCTGCAGCACAGAGTGGTTGAAAGAGATGCAGAATGGGGTAGAGGGGTGAAGATGGGTGAAGGTGAAGAACGCAGGGCTTGCGATGTCGGATGAGGGGCAGGGAGTGGATGGACTCCCAATCCACCTGTACGCAGCACAGAGGGGGAATAAGGGGGTAGAACGAGATAGATACGAGAAGGTGCAAAAGAAATGAAGGCTGATTTGAAACGTCTGAATGGTACTTAACCCCAATCTTCCCATCCATGCGCACCCACAGTCCTTGTTCTCCCTTGACCTCTGAGCTCATTGCCTTTGTAAGTACATACATGTGCGTGTGCATATTTCGGCAGTATCTTTTGCTCTTGACCGCTACTAGCCTACCACCAACCGTCAAGGTTCACTGCACCTGGACGGCAGGGGGGATGGGCTGGGAGGCGTGGAGGTCGATGGCGAGGAGCAGACCGAGCGTGACCACATGGCCCGTCATGGCTGTAGCTTTGGCACTCTGGTCAACTACTAGTACAACCAACCGTCAAGGTTCAGCGCACCTGGACGCTAGGGGGGATGGGCTGGGACGTGTGGAGGTCGATGGCGAGTAGCAGACCGAGCGTGACGACATGGCCCGTCATGGCTGTAGCTTTGGCACTCAAGTCGACTACTAGAACTACCATCCGTCAAGGCTCACAGCACTGCACCTGGACGGCAGGCGGGATGGGCTGGGAGGCATGGAGGTCGATGGCGAGGAGCAGGCCAAGCGTGACCACATGGCCTGTCATGGCTGTAGCTTTCGCACTCAGATAAACTAATAGTAATACCATCCATCACGGTTCACTGCACCTGGACGCTAGGAGGGATGGGCTGGGAGGCATGGAGGTCGATGGCGAGGAGCAGGCCGAGCGTGACCACATGGCCTGTCATTGCTGTGCCGCGTGCCAATGGCATGAAGTTGTACCTGAGGGGTGGGAAGTGGAGATAGGTGGGGGAGAGGGAGTGAGATTTGAGGAGCAGGCCGAGCGTGACCACATGGCCCGTCATGGCTGTGCCGCGCGCCAAGGGCATGAAGTTGTACCTGCGGTGATAATGGGTGGGTGGTTCATGGATGGATGGACGGACGGATGGACGAATGGACAGACAGATAGATGGATGGATGGATAGTCATGAAAGTAATGGGCAGTACTGAAATGCTTCACTTGGACATACCAATAGTAGGCCATTCTCAGAATGCTGTCCTGCACTGCCTTGCGGTAGGCGGGGAGGTCAGAGTCGCGAAGAGACGTGTTTGCCACTGCCAGGCAGATGGCCTGATGGGCGAGAGAGGGCGGACACAGCAATAGAGGTGAGGGACACAGTGAGCCGTGAGGGCCGCGAAATCAAGAGCAAGCAAGGTGTAAGGAACACAGAGTAAAGAAGCGAAGAGGAAGGGATACACATGGTGACAGAATGGTTCAAAACACACGAGAGAAAAACCATGGCTGGGCTGGGAATTGGGGCGAACCTTCCAAGAAGCCGCCATCTCGGCATCAAACTCGTTCCACCTATGGGGTGTGAGCACCGTCTCGATGAGAAACTCCACTCCGTACGGCCTGGGAAGACATGCCAACAGAATGAAAAGGGGGGGACAAGGTGGCCGAGGGCCGTGTTTTGAGTCGACTCATAACGTGAGCACCATCTCGATGAGAAACTCCACTCCGTACAGCCTGAAAGGGAGGGGATGCACGGAGGGTGAGGGAAGGGGCATCGAATTAGCTCCACCTGTGGGGTGTGAGCACCGTTTCAGTTGAAACTCCACACCGTCAGCCTGGGGTGGAAAGTGGAAGGAGGCGAAGGGGGGCCAGGGAGAGGAGGGGGCCTTCATGACAATACAACTGACTCTTGAGTAAACTTACAAACCATCACTCGGCGATGAGAAGTGATGAGAAGCTCGGTGCCTGTGGCTCGCCGTAGGCCTTGAAAGAAGACCCACACGGAGACACTCTATAGAGGGGGCACTTGGAGGTGCCTCTCAGACAGGACACATCTCAGATTGAAAACAACAAGCAGAAGGGAAGGTCCGGCCCTCTGGCATTCGATGAGGGAGGAAAGAGTGTGATCAACGGAGGGGGAGAAAGTAAAAGGAAGATGGAGACTTAAAACACCTCTCAACAGAGGCCAGCTCACCTGGTCAGTAGGGCGAGGCGAGTGCCGTTCAGTGTCTTGCTGCAGGCACATGGCGGGGGGCAGAGAGGGGGTCATTGCTCGGAACAGGCAATAGGAGAGTTGAAGCAAAGGGTCATTGCTCGGAATGTCAAAACTGACTGATAACTGTGCATGCATGGCGGTGTCCATGGTAGCACAAGTGCCTTGCCTTGAGTGAGGCAGGCTCACTTGGGGTAGGCCGACATGCAAAGCCAAGGGCTACTTGAGGGGAAGGCGGTGCTGTGGCAGGGCTTACTTGGGAAAGGCGGTACTCCGGCAGGGCGTGAAGACGAAGAAGGGTTGCTGCACCGCTTGCCATAGATGGGTGTGATCCGACGCTGCTGCCACCTGATAGGGGGAGGAGGGGGTGGGAAGGGAAGGATTGGGGGAGTATGTTTCAGGCGCCTCTAAGCATAAGAAGGGCTGCTGCACCGCGTGCCATAGATGGGTGTGGTCCGACGCTGCTGCTACCTGGTGGGGGAGGAGAGGGTAGGGAAGGATTGGAGGAGTATGTTTTAAGGCGCCCCTAAGCATAAGAAGGGTTGCTGCACCGCCTGCCACAGATGGGTGTGATCCGAGGCTGCTGCTACCTGATGGGAGGAGGAGGGGGTGGCATGGGATGGCATGGCATGGGATGCACACCTGACTCCCCCGAATCCTGATAACACCTGAGGCTGGTGGACAGATTACCTGGTGAGACTCAACAGTGCTCTCAGCTCAGGCCCTAAGGAGGATAAGAGACGCTCACCTGCTGCAGGGCATGCTTGGAAAGCACTATCCACTCGTACCCCCCTCGGTAAACCTTGCCTTGGTGACTTTTGAGTCGCCTCATCACCTCAAGTCACGGGGTCTCACTCACCTGCTGCAGGGCATGCTTGGAATGAACTATCTCCTCGTACCCCCTCGGTAAACCTTGCCTTGCTCCCCAATGATGGCCTTCACCATTGCATGGGCAGCAGGATCCGTGGAGGCACAAGTGGTGGGGCACGCAATGCTTAAAGTGAGAAGGGGAGGTGGTTGAAGTCAGAGAGGCTCACCTGCTGCAGGGCATGCTTGGACAGCACTATTTCCTCGTACCCCCCTCGGTACACCTTGTCTTGCTCCCCAATGATGGCCTTCACCATTGCAGCACTTATAACACCACAGGGCCGTGCAGCAGAAGGCTCAAGTCATCGAGTCTCACCTGCTGCAGGGTATGCTTGGACAGCACGATCTCCTTGTACCTCCCTCGGTACACCTTGCCTTGGTGACTGTTGAGTCGACTCATCACCTCAAGTCATGGGGTCTCGCTCACCTGCTGCAGGGCATGCCTGGACAGAACGATCTCCTCGTACCTCCCTCGGTACACCTTGCCTTGGTGACTGTTGAGTCGACTCATCACCTCAAGTCATGGGGTCTCGCTCACCTGCTGCAGGGCATGCCTGGACAGAACGATCTCCTCGTACCTCCCTCGGTACACCTTGCCTTGGTGACTGTTGAGTCGACTCATCACCTCAAGTCATGGGGTCTCGCTCACCTGTTGCAGGGCATGCTTCGACAGAACTATCTCCTCGTACCCCCCTCGGTACACCTTGCCTTGCTCCCCAATGATTGTTTTCACCATCTCAACTGCTCTGTTTGCGGGCAGAGGGATCCGTGGAGGCACAAGGGGTGGGGCATGCGGGGTGGAGCCGGCATGAAGGGTGGGGAATGCGGTGCTTGGAGTGAGATAGGGAGGCGTTATACAAGAGTGAGCCCCTCTGGTGGAACGAGTACAGCATCCATCCCATGGCTTGATGGATCGTGCATGCCGAATCAAATGTCATCTGTTACCACACCCCTGGATACAAGCAGTGCTATATGCAAACCGGAAGGAGGCCTTTGCATAAGATGTGCCAAGGAGCCCGCATGCAGTGTAGGATGTTACCTGTTACCAGATCCCTGGTTACCAGCAGCCCAAGGCAGGAGTAGTACGAGACACACCTGGGAGCATGTATAGCGTAGCGGATGTTACCTGTTACCAGTCCCCTGGTTACCAGCAGCCCAAGGCAGGAGTAGCACGAGACACACCTGGGAGCATGTATAGCGTAGCGGATGTTACCTGTTACCAGTCCCCTGGTTACCAGCAGCCCATTCCGCCACCCTAAAAGCTCTGGTAGCAAGAGGTGCACCTGGGGGCATGCATGGCGTAGCGGATGTTGTGGGCAGGGCCTGAGACCATGGGCGTGGAGGAGCCAAAGACCATGAAGGTGACGCTTCGAGACAAACTCCAAGGACAGCGGTGGTAGCAAGGGGCACACCTTGGAGCGTGCATGGCATAAGAGGCGCACCTGGGAGCGTGCATGGCGTAGCGGATGTTGTGGGCGGGGCCAGAGACCATGGGCGTGGAGGAGCCAAAGCCGCTCTCAAAAGACTCCCTCCTGGGGAAGAGGAAAGAGGATGAGATGATTGGATGAGGTTGACAGGAGAGGATTATTGAGACGTCTCAAAAGGCATGGCGTATCGGATGTTGTGGGCAGGGCCGGAGACCATGGGCGTGGAGGAGCCAAAGCCGCTCTCAAACGACTCCCTCCTGGGGGAGAGGGGATGGGAGGAGGAGAGCGCACGGTGAATGGCTCTGAGAGAATGGCTTTTGAGATTGACAGTAAGCATCCAAGGACTGACATCTGGAGGATTGGAACGAAACATGACTCAAGAAGGTCACTCACACTATATGGCCCCGCCCCTCCCCACTCCTCCAACCAATTTATCGTTCACCCAAACAGAGACGACTGACGTGAGGCCATCGATCCACACTACACAACGGGGTCATGGTTACCACGTAACACACTGAGAGCCTCATAACTTACATGAGTCCTTCGATCCACACACTGGGGTTGTGTTTACCATGTAACACATCTACATGCCCCGTGACTCACGAGAGGCCGTCGACCCAGACGATGGGGTCGTTAGGTTCGGCAATCTGGCGCCATCTCACTGCGATGCCGTACCGTACACGTCCCTCAAGCAGACCACTGCCCGTCTCCCTCCTCCCACTCCACACAAGCGATAACCCGAGGAAGGAGAGGTGACTCACGTGAGGCCGTCGACCCATACAATAGGGTCGTTGGGTTCGGCAATTTGGCGCCATCTCACTGCGATGCCGTACACATCCCTCCACCCCACCCCCACCCTCTCCTCCACCTCCTCCGCGCTGCTCCCCCTCTCCATGCGCCCCCTCCCCATCCACTCCCCCCACGCCCTCCTCACTGTCTGCATAATCTCAAGTGCTGCCAGCCCTGCCGCTCGCTGCTGCCTCGGGTTTCCCACAAACCCCGTCACATTGTAATGCACGCGCCGGCCAATCGCATCCGCCCACGTCAGCAGCTCCTTCTTCCGATCAGCCAAGGAAACCCCTGCTCCGACCCCCCTCCTCCCTGCCCTCCTCCCTTTCCGCTTCCTCCCCTCCTCTTCTCGCTCCTCCTCCTGACCTCGCTGCACGAGAAGCAGCTGGCGGCGCTGCAGGGAGGAGAGGAGGGCATGTGAGTCGGCGAGCATGGCGTAGCCTCTCTGCACCACTTGTGCTGGGTGGAATGCACGCGCCCACCCCTCCTGCAAACAGAGAAAGTAGCAGGGAAGGAAAGAGAAAGAAAGCAATGTTTCTTCGATGGTCGAAGAAGGCACCACTGTGGGTGTGTGAGTCGGCGAGCATGGCGTAGCCTCCCTCTCTGCACCACTTGTGCTGGGTGGAACGCACGCGCCCACCCCTCCTGCAAACAGAGAAAGTAGCAGGGAAGGAAAGAGAAAGAAAGCAATGTTTCTTCGATGGTTGAAGAAGGCAACACTGTGGGTGTGTGAGTCGGCGAGCATGGCGTAGCCTCCCTCTCTGCACCACTTGTGCTGGGTGGAACGCACGCGCCCACCCCTCCTGCCAAGGGAGAGAAGGGAGAGAAGGGAGAGAGGGGGAGGAAGGATAATGACGCGTACTTGACGGTTGGAAGCAGCACTGGGAATAGTGTGTGTGTGTTAGTCAAGACGAATCACATCACAGTTGTGAAGTGCCTCCGACGGAATGAGCGCAGAGAGGATGGTTCACATAACACTCGCGCATGATACGCTGCATGATACGCTGCATGATACGCTGCATGATACGCTGTATGATACGCTGTATGATACGCTACAGGCATTGCGGAGTTGCGTGCTGCTGCTTCACCTTGAAGACGAAGCATCACCTTGAAGACGCTGCTGAAACGGTCGTTGATGCTGAAGTCAGGAAAGGGGTCGTTGATGATCATTGCCATGTGCGTTGCCACCTCCCTCTGTTGGAATGTGCAATGCAAGGGAAAGAGAGGCAAGGAGAGGCAAGGATAGGCAAGGAGAGGCAAGGAGAGGCAGGGAGAGGCAAGGAGAGGCAAGGAGAGGCAAGGAGAAGCAGCAGAGGGAAGGGAGTGTTGATGCTGAAGGCAGAAAAGGGGTCGTTGATGGCCATTGCCATGTGCGTTGCCACCTCCCCCTGTTTCCACATGGGAGAGGCAAGGAGAGGCAGCAGGGGGAAGGAGAGGCAGCAGGGGGAAGGAGAGGCAGCAGGGGGAAGGAGAGGCAGCAGGGGGAAGGAGAGGCAGCAGGGGGAAGGAGAGGCAGCAGGGGGAAGGAGAGGCAGCAGGGGGAAGGAGAGGCAGCAGGGGGAAGGAGAGGCAGCAGGGGGGAGACGAGGCAAGGATGACAAGTGGATGTGGCACAGTCGTTCCATGCAGCCATGTCATATTTGAGGCGAATCAGAACAACTTCTGAGGGGCCTCAAAAGGCGCCATATGAGGCGCCTAAAAATTGGAGGCGCCTCAAAAGTGGATGTGCCACAGTGGTACCATGCAGCCATATTTGAGGCGAATCAGAACAACGTTTGAGGGGCCTCAAAAGGCGCCATATGAGGCGCCTAAAAATTGGAGGCGCCTCAAAAGTGGATGTGCCACAGTGGTACCATGCAGCCATGCTCCAGTCTTCACACAAGCCTCCTCAATCACAGCATCACCACCACCACGCAACAAGCTGCACTCTAGCGCAGATGAGAACACTCTAGTAGCTGCTTAAAACGAGGGCACTACGGAAGAAGGAGGGCAGTACGGAAGAAGGAGGGCTGCGGGCTCACTTGGAAGAAGGCGAGGAAGACAAACGCCTGCTCGTGCTGCTGCGGCGAGAGCGAGAGCACGTTGTTGTATAGCGTGATCTGCGCAACACAAGGCAAAGGGCAGGAATCGAATTCTTTTGCGTCTTACTGCGATTCTAGAGAAAAATAGCTTGTAGTGAGTGACCTTGCAAGAGAAGGAAAGCAATGGGGAAGAGTTTTATTCCTTTACGCATCTCGAAAGCAGCCTAGAGAGGACTTGTGCTACAAGAGAGAGGAAAGACATTCGCACGGGGAAAAGGCTCCAGACGAATTACAGTGCAAGCAGGGCTTACAGTGCAAGCAGGGCTTACAGTGCAAGCAGGGCTTACGCTTTGAACAAAGTTCCCAAAAGAGTGGTGGCTGGATGCCTCGAGGTATCTGAGGTGTACGCTGGATGGGTGGTGCTGTAGTGCTGTCTCCAGCAGCTGCAACGCACCCCTGCGGGATGAGGACGTCAGGGATAGACAGAGAGGCAGCAAAGGGGTTGAGTAGAGATCATGGAGATAAGTGACAAGGGGAGGACAACTCGTTCCCAACAGAGTGGTGGCTGGATGCCTCGAGGTATCTGAGGTGCACGCTTGACGGGTGGTGCTGCAGTGCCGCCTCCAGCAGCTGCAACGCAACGCGCCCCTGAGATCAACTTACGCAAGGCAGGCGATGCATGCAGGGTTTGGGGGAGCGAGCAAGTGGGGAGATTGAAGACTGGATGGCAGGGGCAGATCCCTCCCTGTCTGACAAGGAACTCTAGGCTGCTTGCTGGACGCCTCACCTCACCTCAGCTTCACCCAATCAATCAACTTTCAAGGCGCCTCACAAGACGGCCCCCTCACCCCTCACTTTCCCCTCTCTTTCCTCGTCGGCCATCTCTCCTTCCCCTCCCACCCCACAATCCCCTCCCCCCTCTTCTCTTCCTTCCTCTGCGCACCTGTGGTTGCCTGCCACGTGCCTCAGTTCCACCCAGTTGATCAACTTTTGGGGAGCCTTAGAAGAGCCTCTCCCCCTCTTCATCCTCGCATCCTCTTCCCCCATCCCCCCCACCACATCCTCATCCTCCCCCTTCCTTCCTGGGCGCACCTGTGGTCGCCTGCCACGTGCCTCAACTCTACCCAGTTGATTAGCGCAGGCAGGAAGCTGCAAGGAAACATCAGCAGGGAGGCGAGGGGAATGAGATGGAGGGATAGAGGGAAGGGTTTCATTACAGAGTGATACGGGATTCTAGCAAAACGGCGCAAGGACCGATGAGAACTGAGATGCGATTGACTAGGACAGGAGAAAGAGGACGAACAAAAACCCCTTCCATCTGCCGCTTTGTGCTTTCACACGCCTGCATGCACACACACGCCGCGCGCGCATCACACACACATAGCATCAGCACCTAGCACCCTCAGCAGCCGCACCTCTCATTCAACTCAATGCTCCTACTGAAGCTCGCCTCGGCCTCGCGCCTGTTGCCAGCCTCCTTGAGCGCCCACCCCTGCAGGCGCCACGCTTCCGCATCGTTTGGTATCAGAGTGACCGCACGGCTGAACGAGTCCAGTGCCGCTCGGACCTGATTGGACACCATTTGAGACTCGCCCTGATTAGGGGGGTTTGGGCAAGGAACGGGTGTGCACACGCAAAGGGATTTGATTTGAGGGATGATGAGTGTGTGCGGTCAAAATGTGGTGTGATGTGAAGCGCCTCTGTCAAAGAAGCCTGCCTTTCACATCACACCTATGGAAGGAAGTAGATAACTCACGAGTGCAATCATGGTGCAATCATACATACCAGCTGCACGAGTGCAATCATGGTGCAATCATACCAGCTGCATGAGTGCAATCATGGTGCATCATACATACCAGCTGCATGAGTGCAATCATGGTGCATCATACATACCAGCTGCATGAGTGCAATCATGGTGCATCATACATACCAGCTGCATGAGTGCAATCATGGTGCAATCATACATACCAGCTGCATGAGTGCAATCATGGTGCATCATACATACCAGCTGCATGAGTGCAATCATGGTGCAATCATACATACCAGCTGCATGAGTGCAATCATGGTGCATCATACATACCAGCTGCATGAGTGCAATCATGGTGCAATCATACATACCAGCTGCATGAGTGCAATCATGGTGCAATCATACATACCAGCTGCATGAGTGCAATCATGGTGCATCATACATACCAGCTGCATGAGTGCAATCATGGTGCATCATACATACCAGCTGCATGAGTGCAATCATGGTGCATCATACATACCAGCTGCATGAGTGCAATCATGGTGCAATCATACATACCAGCTGCATGAGTGCAATCATGGTGCATCATACATACCAGCTGCATAAGTGCAATCATGGTGCAATCATACATACCAGCTGCATGAGTGCAATCATGGTGCATCATACATACCAGCTGCATGAGTGCAATCATGGTGCATCATACATACCAGCTGCATGAGTGCAATCATGGTGCATCATACATACCAGCTGCATGAGTGCAATCATGGTGCATCATACATACCAGCTGCATGAGTGCAATCATGGTGCATCATACATACCAGCTGCATGAGTGCAATCATGGTGCAATCATACATACCAGCTGCATGAGTGCGTGAGGGTCATCATCATCAGAAGGTGCTGTCTCGCTGCTGTCCACTGAGCTTCCCTGCTTCGCCATCCACTTCTTCCCTTCCTTCTTCTACTTCCCTTCCTTCTTCTCCTTCCCTTCCTTCCCTGCCTTCCCTTCTTTCCTACTTTTCCCTTCCTTCTCTTCCATCTCTTTCTTCCCTTCCTTCCCTCCTTTCCCTTCTTTCCCTTCTTTCCCATCATTATTCTCCTTCCCTTCCTTCTTCTCCTTCCCTCCCTTCCCTTTCTCTTTCACACGCTCCTCCCCTCTCTCTTTTCTCCTAACCACCCCTCTCCCTTCCCTCCTCTCCTCCCCCCCTCTGTCTCGCCTTGCAAGGCCCGAAGCGCCTCTCTCTCGTTCAATCCTCTTTGCATCCCTTCCCCCACCCACACCCTCACCCATCCCCTCTGCTACTCCATCTCTCCACGCTTCCTCTCCCTCCCATCGCCCCCTCCTCCCCTCTCCACCCCTCCTTCCTCTCCCCCTGTCACCCCTCGATACAATCACACATATCTCCTCAGCTGCCTCCTCTCCCCAAAGCACTTCCCCCTCCGCACACGCCGCTCCCCAGCCCCCCCCATGCTGCGCCCCTCCCCCTTGCGCGGAGAGGCTGGGAGGAGGAAGCAGGCGGAGAGAGTCACCTGATAGGGAGATGGGGTTGGGGAGGGTGGGAGAAAGCTAAGATGGGTCCGTACGTCCCTGGACCTACGTAAACGTAATGTTACGCGTAACATTACGTTTACGTTTACGTACTCGTAAACACGCGTAACTTGAGTCCGGGCAGGTAAAAATTTTCAACGAAAAAAAAATGTCGGAATTGTTTCTTCGGTCTTTATTCTTGGTGGAATGTTGCTACAGAATCGTTCAGGGCATCGGTTACAGCCGGGCGAGATGTTAAGATCGTAAGTTATGTCGTAACTAGACATTATAGAGTAGGGTAGGCACGGGTTCTAGATCTTGGCTCTTCTTGGTAGATCGTTCTACGAAGTAGCATTAGGTCGTCAATCTAGTCGAAGTAGCAGGCCTTCTGAGTCTCGCGTACGTCGTCGTGGGAGTGGGAGGGTAAGTGACTCGGAGGAACGGATTGGGGGGACACGTTGCCTCGTGCAATATCGCGTGAAATTGGGGCAAAGAGCGAGCTGGTTTGTACACCTCGCGAAAAGTAACACGCCTCACCTTGTGATGCATACGAATTTTTTGTGTGAATACTTTCATCTTTAATAGTGATGTTGCCATTTCTGAATCCCCTTGATTTTTTTTTACTTCAGCCGGGCAGCTAAAGAAAAAAAAATCTGCCCGGAAACGTAATCTCATTCCAGCACCTCGCGCGTAACGTAAAACGTACGTAAACGTAAACGTAAAACGTACGTAAACGTAAGCGTAATATCCAACTTAGGGAGAAAGAGGGAGAAGGAGAGGGAGAGAAAAAGGGTGAGGGAGGGAGAGTAAGAGAGAGGGGGGAAGGGAACGGGCATGACGGATGAAAGGATGCCATGCTGTGCATGCAGGAATCAGTTTAACCCCCCAGCGATCAATGCCATGCGATCAATGCCATGCGATCAATGCCATGCGATCAATGCCATGCGATCAATGCCATGCGATCAATGCCATGCGATCAATGCCATGCGATCAATGCCATGCGATCAATGCCATGCGATCAATGCCATGCGATCAATGCCATGCGATCAATGCCATGCGATCAATGCCATGCGATCAATGCCATGCGATCAATGCCATGCGATCAATGCCATGCGATCAATGCCATGCGATCAATGCCATGCGATCAATGCCATGCGATCAATGCCATGCGATCAATGCCATGCGATCAATGCCATGCAATCAATACCATGCGATCAGTGCCATCCGATCAGTGCAATGTGACAGTGCCATGCGACCTCCCACCCTCACCCCATCGGATATTCACAACATTGAACCATTTTAGAAATCTCAATTTCTTAATGATATTTGAAAATGCTCATTAACCAACACTCCCACCCTGCTAACGCCCCTTTTCCTCTCTTCGACCCTCCCCTACCTGCTCCCATCCTTCCCATGTTTCCTACCACTCCATTCCCTCTCCTCCCTTTCTCCACTCCCTTCTCTCCTCCCCGCTCACCCGATTTGAGGAAGGGCGAGGGACACGTGGCACGCCACGGGCTGCCCTGCAGCACCTGCTCGCTCCACTGCTCGGACAGAAACGAAGGTTCTTGGCCAATCACAGCCAGCCAGCTGGCGGGGCAACAGCACAGGTGAATGGGACAGCGGGTTGGATAGAGAGGTGCGGGGGCGGCGGGAAGAGGGGAAAAATGGGGCAGGGGGGAGGGGTAGGGGGGAATGCAGAGAGGGGCAAGGTGGAGGAAGGGGGGATGGGGAGAGGGAGAGGCCGAAAAAGGGGAGGGGGAGGGTGCGTCGGCGGAAGAGACGCGCAAATTTAAGCGCTCAATTCCACAGGGTCAGAGCCTTCAGAAGCATCGCAGATTACCATGTGCCAAGTAACATGCGGCGCCATGCGCGCCGCGCTGCAGTGTCACACGCGCAACTGCTACTCCCCCTCTCCCGCGCAATGGCACGCGCTACAGAACTCACACACCTGCTACCGCCCCCTTCCCGCGCAATGTCGCGGGCGGTGGCGGAGATGGCGGAAACTGCGCGGACCAGCAACCTCATGCTGCACGCGGGGGCGCTGTCTCCGTCCCGCGGCCACGTGACGCTTACTACAGCCGTCCATGGGGGACAGGGACAGGTGTGCGTGGCTGACGTGTCACTGGCTGTACACGTGGCCAGCGAGGCCTTGTAGACGTGGCAGACTGTGAGGTTGAGCGAGAGGCAGAGGAAGGTGACGGTAGAAAGCGGGACGGCCATGGAATGCGAGCCACGTCAGCATGCTAGAATACGTCAGCCTTGACAGCCAGGTATGTCATTGAGTGGCTTGCATTGGAACTTCCAGGTATCTTGAAGATATTGACGCATTTTAGGCGCGAAACGAATTGGTCTTGACTGCTCTGGGCGCTTGGTTAGGCAACAAGGTTGGGATGGTCGTGTTGCGCTATAGATGGCTTCAGCACGAACACAAGACTGGTTATTGGATTGCTAAGTTCGACGGCTGCATTTCTCGTTATAGGGCGAACGTAGGACATTATTCGTAGGGCAAACATTTTGAACTCGAACAGTTCAGAATATGGGCGAACCAGAGTTCAGCGTTTCGTGTGTCAGGGCGCATTTCAGGTAGTTACGAACAAGCAACTTCGTAACAAGCGACTACTATCCGATTTCAGGTGTTATTGCGACGCTGGACGATTTCCTGGAGGTTGAAAGAACCTCCTCACAACAAGTTTAGGGCGTGTGTGGGTTTTTTTGCTTTATTTTTTTTCCAAACTACACATTTGAGCTCTGGTCGACTTGTGGTCGACTTTCTCGACCTTTGGAGGTAGAATCGCAGCATCGCCCTTCGCATAAACACAAGGCACACGAAAGTTCGTTAGCGAAGTTTAACTTTATAGGTAACCCAGCTAGTCAATGTAGTTGGTACCGAAAAAGACTTCGGTAACAAGATGATGTAGTTCGTGCTTGTCGCACAATCCGCAGCTCATCACACGTGACTAGATGGACACACGATTGGATAACCATGCACGAGAAGTTCGATTACGAGGTCGACTCGAGTTTGGGTCCTGGCGGTTTTCCGAATCATCCCCCAAAATCACGAGTTTCGCAAACAACTATAATTTAGCGATGCTGGTAACTAGCAAAAGTTCGACCGTAACTTCGAACGTCTACACGAAAAGACACACACGACAACTTGTTCAGAAATCACTTGTTACGAGGCCCAAAATGCGCCCTAACAAGTTCGCGCTCGTCATCAATCGCGGAGTGTCAAGCCACTTTGTGACACACCGTGAAATGGTTACCCAAACACAACTATGTCAACGTTGGCTGGCGCCAAAGTACATTCTTCATTTCTGGACAAAACGCACCGCTACCCTTGCCACCCTATGTCCTCCTCCGTCATCACCCATTGGTCCTTCGTGCATCAGTTGTTTAGGGATGCCTCGCAAAGGACGTATGCCACCCATAGAGGTTTCTTTGTTTTGCCCGCAGGCAGCGCTAGACGACGTTGGCGTTTTAATGCGTTCTTCAACACCGCGAGTTGGGGAATTGCTTCAACGCACCTTACGGCAAGGCGTTTACCATTGTTGATGCATCCCGAAGGCTTCCCGTCCCGTCCGAACGGGTTTGACTTTTTTGTTTGCCCGCGAGCGGAAGCTCGCTTGCGATGCCAGCTGGCGCTGACACCCGGCGTACAGTTACTGGATCTGCCGAATGAGGTCCACACGAATGGCAGCGTTACTGGAATGGGCTCCTGGGATGGCCGCGGCAGCCAAAATAGTCAACTACCTGCCGTGCCCATCACTCACTCGCTCGATTACCGCTGCGAAACCCCACCCAACAACCCATCTGCAACGCCGGAAACTCAAATCAGACTGCCTAGTAGCATGTTCTCAACTTCAAAAGTTCCTGCTGCTGCTTGATCTGACCTCGGCGCTCCCAACGTGGCACGTTTCAATACGCGACTAAGACAATGGCTTATTCTCGGACGGCCGTCGTGTTTGCTCTGCTGCTGCACGCGGCGTGCCTCTCATCGCCTCTTGGTCTCGTCGCGGCCCACATCTGGCCTCTCAGTGGAGCAAGCACCCGCCGCGAGTTACCGGTCAAGGCGCCTGGTGAGCGTCCGACGACTGCAGTCGTCCCAGTCATCGCTCGACTTGTCCGCGCGACCAGCCGCATCCGAACCGTCATGCCCTGTTTTAAGTCTAAACACGGTGTTGTTTTAAGTCACCCATCATGCCCATCCATCCCAGAAATGTTTTAACTCGTTTAATTCATTTCGCCATGCCCCCTACTACTCCACACGACGCCCGTGCGTCTTCCCCTCCTCCCCAGCCATGTGTCCCCCCGGCGTTGTCTGCCCGGAAGGGGCGTCGTGCGCGGTGGATTCCAACAGCCACCCTTTTTGCAAGTGCCCGGCCGGGCAGGCCATTATCAACGGCGAATGCGCCCCCGCCAAGAACTGGACGACGGTGGGTACGAGCGTGGCGGTCTACAAACGCACCACCTGCAAAGCCAGCGCAGGCGACGTGGAAGCCCCCGTGGTGCAGCGCGCGCCGCCACCCAACACCTCGACTTGCGTGAGCCTGGCGCCGTTCAACGGCACATTAGGGTGTGTGAAGATCCTGTGGAACGTGAATGACGGCGCGCCGAATCACCTGGTGTGCGGAAAGCTTGTGTTCTGGGAGCAGCCTGACTGCAGTGGCTTGAATACGACTGTCGAGATAACTCTCGGCGGCTGGAAGAAAGTCAACCCTCAGCAGTTCAACATCGTTTCCACATTCGCGTGAGTGTGGAAGTGACAAAGAAATTAGCACAGTCTATTGGCGCCCTTGCAGTGTTTTCTGGTTTAGGATGATCCAGTGCGTTGACCGACTCTGCTTGTGTTGGCTGTTGGGACCGTGTGCAGGGCGATGAAAGGCATAAATTACAATACCCGGTCCTTCTCGTGTCTGACTGCCACTCTGCCGCCTGGCGTGGACCTCTGTGCCCTTGCGTCATGCCCGCCCAACTCCACCTGCTCCTTAAAAAACGGCTTCGCTAAGTGCATTTGCGACCCTGGACTGGTCATGCCCAAGGACGGCAGCGCCGCTGCATGCGTTGGTGAGTCAGCGCCATGCTGGGGATCATGGGAGCTGGGTCTTGCACTTATTGACGCTTACCCATCCATCGACGCTTGTGTGAATTGACCCATGTGTGCCATGGCAGTTGTCTCATGTGCGCCATGGCAGTTGTCTCATGTGCGCCATGGCAGTTGTCTCATGTGCGCCATGGCAGTTGTCTCATGTGCGCCATGGCAGTTGTCTCATGTCCGCCATGGCAGTTGTCTCATGTGCGTTATGGCAGTTGTCTCATATGCGCCATGGCAGTTGTCTCATGTGCGCCATGGCAGTTGTCTCATGTGCGCCATGGCAGTTGTCTCATGTGCGCCATGGCAGTTGTCTCATGTGCGCCATGGCAGTTGTCTCATGTGCGCCATGGCAGTTGTCTCATGTGCGCCATGGCAGTTGTCTCATGTGCGCCATGGCAGTTGTCTCATGTGCGCCATGGCAGTTGTCTCATGTGCGCCAAGGCAGTTGTCTCATGTGCGCCATGGCAGTTGTCTCATGTGCGCCATGGCAGTTGTCTCATGTGCGCCATGGCAGTTGTCTCATGTGCGCCATGGCAGTTGTCTCATGTGCGCCATGGCAGTCTCATGTGTGCCATGGCAGTTGTCTCATGTGCGCCATGGCAGTTGTCTCACGTGCGCCATGGCAGTTGTCTCACGTGTGCCATGGCAGTTGTCTCACGTGCGCCATGGCAGTTGTCTCACGTGCGCCATGGCAGTTGTCTCATGTGCAGTGTGCACCATGGCAGTTGTCTCATGTGCGCCATGGCAGTTGTCTCATGTGCGCCATGGCAGTTGTCTCATGTGCGCCATGGCAGTTGTCTCATGTGCGCCATGGCAGTTGTCTCATGTGCGCCATGGCAGTTGTCTCATGTGCGCCTTGGCAGTTGTCTCATGTGCGCCATGGCAGTTGTCTCATGTGCGCCATGGCAGTTGTCTCATGTGCGCCATGGCAGTTGTCTCATGTGCGCCATGGCAGTTGTCTCATGTGCGCCATGGCAGTTGTCTCATGTGCGCCATGGCAGTTGTCTCATGTGCGCCAAGGCAGTTGTCTCATGTGCGCCATGGCAGTTGTCTCATGTGCGCCATGGCAGTTGTCTCATGTGCGCCATGGCAGTTGTCTCATGTGCGCCATGGCAGTTGTCTCATGTGCGCCATGGCAGTTGTCTCATGTGCGCCATGGCAGTTGTCTCATGTGCGCCATGGCAGTTGTCTCATGTGCGCCATGGCAGTTGTCTCATGTGCGCCATGGCAGTTGTCTCATGTGCGCCATGGCAGTTGTCTCATGTGCGCCATGGCAGTTGTCTCATGTGCGCCATGGCAGTTGTCTCATGTGCGCCATGGCAGTTGTCTCATGTGCGCCATGGCAGTTGTCTCATGTGCGCCATGGCAGTTGTCTCATGTGCGCCATGGCAGTTGTCTCATGTGCGCCATGGCAGTTGTCTCATGTGCGCCATGGCAGTTGTCTCATGTGCGCCATGGCAGTTGTCTCATGTGCGCCATGGCAGTTGTCTCATGTGCGCCATGGCAGTTGTCTCATGTGCGCCATGGCAGTTGTCTCATGGCAGTTGTCTCATGGCAGTTGTCTCATGGCAGTTGTCTCATGGCAGTTGTCTCATGGCAGTTGTCTCATGGCAGTTGTCTCATGGCAGTTGTCTCATGGCAGTTGTCTCATGGCAGTTGTCTCATGGCAGTTGTCTCATGGCAGTTGTCTCATGGCAGTTGTCTCATGGCAGTTGTCTCATGGCAGTTGTCTCATGGCAGTTGTCTCATGGCAGTTGTCTCATGGCAGTTGTCTCATGGCAGTTGTCTCATGGCAGTTGTCTCAGCCTTCCCCTCCATGAAGCCATCCTTCCCGCTTCTCTCTCCCTCTTTCTCTCCCCCCCCCCTCCCCCCCCCTCCCCCCCCCCCCTCTCTCTCCTCTCTCTCTCTCTCTCTCGCTCTCTCTCTCGCTCTTCTCCTCTCCCTCTTTCTCCCTCTTCTCCCCTCTCTCTCCCTCTCTCTCCCTCTCTCTCCCTCTCTCTCCCTCTCTCTCCCTCTCTCTCCCTCTCTCTCCCTCTCTCTCTCTCTCTCTCTCTCTCCCTCTCTCTCCCTCTCTCTCCCTCCCTCTCCCTTTCTCTCTCTCCCCCTCTCTCTCCCTCTTCTCCTCTCTTTCGATTCTTGTGTGTCTGGTCCTTTTCAGGGTTAAGCAGATTCCCTGCCTTTGTTCCTACCCTCATCGCTCCCACCCACCCATCACTCTCTTTTCCCTTCAGCTTGAGGCCCTTTCTTGGTCACCTTGATGTTTCATTCATCCACTTTCCCCACTCGTTTCTTCTCCCTTTGCTCCCCCACCCATCACTCTCTATCCCGTAACTCTCTCCCGCATCCCTGCCTGTCCCTGATGTTTCCGCACCCTTGTATCTACAGCATGCTCAAAGCACGCTAGTGACGAATTCACTTGCGAAAGGACAAAACACTTTTGAGGCGCCTCAAAAGTCAAAACACTGGAAACCATGGCACTCGTAGCATAGCATGACGTTGAGTTCAATCCATTTTGACGAAGCTTGCACACTCGTATTCAATCTGCCAATTCTTTCTTTCCATGCAGAGCCGTGCTCTATCAAGGATTGTGGCGAGGGTGGAACTTGCTTCAAGCTATCTAACTATGAACCGTATTGTGATTGCAAGCAAGGCTACGAGCAGGAGGGAGTCTCTGGGAGTTGCATTGGTATGTGTGTTTAGATTGGTGTGTGACTATCTCTGTATCACTCTGTATCACTCTCTCTGTATCACTCTGTATCACACTCTTTGTGTCACTCTGTATCACTCTCTCTATGTCACTCTCTCTGTTTCTCTCTTCTCTGTGTCACTCACTCTGTCACCCCTCACCTTCCTTTTCGCTCTTTCCATCTCCAATACCCTCTCCCGTACTCTGTCTGTCCCCATCCTATCCCAACCCCCTTCCTCCCCCATCCCCCAACCACGCTCTTGCTTCCTTGTTCTCCCGCGTAAATCACACCCGTTCTGTCATGCACAAGAGTCACAAATTCCTCGTATTCCATTATCTCGCCAACCCCGATGCTACCTACAGGCCAAGGCCAATGCAAGAACTGCCTTCAGAGCACCTGGGGCAAGAATTCCCTACCATACACATACTGCCCCCCTGGCTTCAGCATGCGCTCTGGTACCTGTGTGCCAGGTGGGTACACTAGATCTTGCAGGCTGTGCAGGCCGTATGCGATCACCAGGGTAGTGCTTATGATGCTGTTGCTGTTTCACCTTCGTTTGAAAGAAACATCTAGTGCCAGCACCTTTATAGCAAAACCTTTCTCTCTCTCTTTCCTCTCACGCATGCACTCTCATTGTCCTCCGCTCTCCGTCATAGTAAAAACAAATCTCATTCCCCCTTTCCACTGCAGCCTTACGTGTCTTCCTCATCACAGTAACACCTAAACTTTTCTCCAACACTCCCCTACGTCCAATGTCCTCACAGGCATCCTTCTCATTCTTCTCTTCTTCCTACCGCCTTGCCTGTCTGCCTCATCTATACTGCCTCTCCAACACTCCCCTACGTCCAATGCCCTCACAGGCCTCGTTCCCGATGTGGCTGACGTCGCCATCAGCATCTTCAGTGAGGTCAATTTCGGCACAACAAACCCTCCTTATGTCTTCCGCCTGAAGCCCTTCACTTGCGTCACTATTCCTGAAGTGGTTGTGGCCTCTGCCAAGTCGGCTGGCTTTCTGTATCGTGCTCCTGAATCGTACATTTCATGCACGGCGGTCGTCTTTTACACTCAGCCCAACTGTGGTGGAACGCCATTAACCGCAGACGTCCCCACGGGCGATGGCGTACTCGAAATACCGCTTACGTGAGTTTCTCTACCTCTCTCTCAATGTCCTTGTATTGAATCACAGGTAGGTACAACGCATGCAGTTCTCTCTCTCTCTCTCTCTCTCTCTCTCTCTCTCTCTCTCTCTCTCTCTCTCTCTCTCTCTCTCTCTCTCTCTCTCTCTCTCTCTCTCTCTCTCTCTCTCTCTCCTCTCTCTCTCTCTCTCTCTCTCTCTCTCTCTCTCTCTCCCTCTCTCTCTCTCTCTCTCTCTCCCTCTCTCCTCCCCCCTCTCCTCTCCTCCCCCTCCCCCTCTCCCCCCCCCCCTCCCTCCCCCTCCCCCTCCCCTTCCCCCTCCCTCTCCCCCCCCCTCCCTCTCTCTCCCCGTCCCTCTCCCTCATGGCTGGTCTTTTGCTTTATGTCTACCCTCCAGTGCTATGGCTTCCCTGTCTCCAGCCCTCATTTTCCCACTCTTTATTGGCATTATTCCCCAATATATGCATGAACACCCTTCTTTTTGCGCTCTACAAATTCGCATCTTTCTTTCAACAGATCTCTTTATGGTTTGGCCCAATCCTTCAAGTGCCTTCTGTGGTAACTTGGAGGCTCTGGCTAGGAAGACTTAAGATTCCGAAGTCCAACAAAGACTCGCAGACCGATTGAAGTATTTGAAGAGGGCCATGGAGGTCGAAATCCAGCTGCATGGCATGGGAAGAAATGCCTTGGATGGTCAAAACTTACAGGGTTTATGGTGGGTTGCTCTGTCTTGGTGGGCTGCTCTTTTGAATGCTTGCTTAATGCCTGGTGGGCTGGACTGAACTTTTCACTATAAACTTGGTGGGCTGTACTAAGTGAAAAGCTAATTGCTTGACTAGTACAGAATAACGTGCATTTTCTGTTTCCACTACTACCGGTTAGTTTCAGGGAGATATTATAGCGCAGTCCACAGTATTGGCATTGAACCGCTGATGCTAACTCGGCAGATGTCTCATGAAAAAAATCAAAGTGTTTATCGCTTTCAAATTTGTGTATTGTGAAAGCGAAGCTGATTGTAACGCAATTTTGTGCATCGTTGAAGCGTGCTATTCAGACGCCTTCTCCGAATATATAATGTGGGCTGGGGTCATTCTTCCCCCACCCACGTCCCTCATTTTTACAATCGCTCAAGTTCAATTCCCAGGAGTTCTCTCGCTAGGTTTTGGGGCTGTCTGACAGTAGCCTGGAAAAATTTTCCCCCGTCTTATGCTCGGACGACGAAATTTTCATGGTCTGCATTATAAGCTGAAAACATTTTTCTAGTCTGATACATAAGACGAAAAAAAATCCAGTCAAAAGTCAACCTACTGTAATCCTGCAGAGTCAAAAGTCAACCCCATCACCGTGCAGTGCATTGAGAACCGAAAGGCGCTGCGTGTTGGGAGCGGGGGGCACTACAGCTGATGCTCACCCCATGCACGCGAATTTGCCTTGCGCCGGATGGATACGCTGCACCCGAGGTTGTTTCCCCAGCTTCATGCACCTACATTACAAGCGCGTCACGTGGTTATCAACCAGTAGTAACCAGGGCAAATTTTTGGATTTGACCAACCCTTGTGATCAGTGTACCACAAGCTGAAAAACCTGATTATCAGTGTGACCCCTTGTAAAAAATCTTTTCCATCAGGGTTTTCCAAGCTTTCAAAAAATCTACCCTGTCGCATCAGTGTACAAAGAAACTGTAACCCTGGCAAATGATGGCCCACTGTCTGCCACCACATGCGTTGTGAAGGCCGAAATTCCGGCTTTGATAGTTGCTTTCAGAAGAACTAGGCAAGAATGAATGCATTGAATGAAACAGTTGGGTACAAGTAGCAAACCCTAGTTGGGGTTGTACCCCATATTGGCTACCCCACTACAGCCTACCAACATATAACACATTACAATTTAACACACCCCCATAGGCAAAGTGGGGGAGAACAAAGGGTCACAAGACCAGTCCAGCAAAGCAACGCAAGCCCAGGGTGGATCACAAAGTCACCACACTCCGAGCACAAGCAAAGGCCACAAGGCCAGTTCACATGCAGTGCTAGATATAGTACAAGACAAGCAACAAGATATATATAAAGTACAGTACAAAGAATGTCAAGCAGTGAGCAAGTGAGGAAACGTGGACACAAGGCCTAAAGAAGTACAGTGCCGCTGATGATCACTAGGCGGGAGCGCCTTGGTGAAGATATCAGCAGTGTTGGCCTTCGAGTCCACGTACACAAGCCGAAGCTGACCTCGCTGCTGCAGCTCTCGAGCAAGAAAGTAGCGAAGAGCAATGTGCTTCGTCCTGTGCTCCAGTCTGTGCTCCTGACACAAGGCAAGGGCCGCCTTGTTGTCGCCGTACAGAACTGGAGGAGAACTAGGCCGCTCTCCCAAGTCAGTCAGCAGGTAGGTGAGCCAGCGTAACTCCTGTGCAGCCATGGCTGTGGCATAGATCTCAGCCTCACAACTAGAGCTGAGAACAGAAGAAGAACGGGTGGACCGCCACGAGACAGAACCAGAGCCAAGGCTGAAGGTGTAACCCTGCGACGACCGCTGCGTAGCCAAGTCGTCCACCCAAGAAGCGTCCGAGTGACCAGTGAGAACAACTCTGTCGTGTCCTCCAAGCACCAGCCCCATGCCTGATGTACTGCACAAGTAGCGCAGCACCCTCTTAGCAGCCTCCCAGTGCTCTCGCCTGTGTCTCCCAGGCGCAACGTAACGAGCAAGGATGCTAAGAGGGTACGCGAGGTCAGGTCGTGTGCAAGTCATCAGGTACATGAGGCAGCCTACAAGCTCTGGGTACGGGCCACTCGGCTCTACGGACTCGTCCGAAGGTGGAGCTGAGAGCGAGTGGCTGGTAGCCAGAGGTGTGGCCTGTGGTGAGGAGAACTGGAAGCCGAAGCGCTGAAGGACCTGCTGCACCATGTGTGACTGAGTCAGGGTGATGGTGCGGCGAGCTCTGTCCCGGGTGATCTGCAAGCCAAGGTAGCTACGCAGTTCACCCAGGTCAGTGCAGGTGTGTCTCTTCTACAGCTCCGACTTCACACGAGCGAGTGCCTCAGTGTCAGCAGTAGCAAAGACCAAGTCGTCGACGTACACGAGAATGTAGAACGGCGGCAGCGACGTGTCTGTGCGCAGAAACAGCGACGGGTCAGCAGTAGACGGCGCGAACCCAAGAGCCGCAAGTGTAGTCCTCAGTGTGTCGTGCCACTCACGTGGCGCCTAGCGGAGACCGTAGACTGGCCGGCGGAGGCTCCACTGGGTACCAGGAGGAAACGACCCAGTAAAGCCAGGTGGGCAGCGCAGCCAGATCTCCTCGTGCAGGCTGCCCTGCAGGAACGCTGTGCTGAAGTCAAGAGAGTGAAGCTCGTAGTCACGCTGAGCAGCAACGTGCAGCAGAACCCGAAGAGTGGTCATCTTCGGGGTGGGGGAGAAGGTCTGGAAGAAGTCAACCCCCTGACGCTGACTGAAGCCTCTAGCAACGTAACGAGCCTTGAAGACAGGCGGAGAACCTGGTGGCCGCTTCACCCTGAAAATCCACATGCCATCGACGATGTTCGCCCCAGGAGGGGGAACGTCGTCGACGTAGGTGCCTGTGGACTTCCAGGATGCCATCTCTGCGTCCATGGCTGTCTGCCACTGAGAGGAGTAGGGACCCGAGATCGCCTCTGCGTAAGTGCGCGGAGTGGGGATGTCTAGTGCATCCGGGTCTCCCTCAGGGGCAAGCAACCAGGCCACGAGATGAGGTACAGCAGCCGCGAGAGAGTCAAAGTCCTCCTGCCTGTCCTCAAGGACGTCCGTGCCAAGAGCACACTCACCCCCGACGGACGGAGGACAGACAGACGCAGACTCAGACTCAGCAACAAGGCTAGCAGCGTAGTCTAGACGACAGGCAGCAGCAAAGTCAACCAACTCAGCGACCAGAGCAGACGCAGCCGAGGACTCAAATGTAGGGTCAGTGACAACAGTAGCTAGGAGACGCGTGACAGTAGGGTGCTCAGCACGATACCGGTCAGACTCAGGGTCCGGAACGGCAGGCAAAGAGGACGCAGGAGGAGACGGTAGAGGGACACGCTGAGGAGCAGTAGATGGACGCAGAGTCATGTAGTGAGTGCCGGGGACAGGAGGAGGACGCTCACGACGGACACGACGACTAGTGCGAGCAGTACGAACAGGCGACGCAGGACGAGACTCAGGCTCACGACGCTCTGTAAGACCTCCTGTGGGACCAGTGTAAGGAGAGGGAGCAGGGAGAGGCGAGGTAGGCGGTAACTGTGACTGCGACTGGACAGGCGGAGGACACTCTACGGAGGGAGGAGGACAAGGAGGAGGAGCCTGCCCAAGAACCTGCTGAAGGAGCGGTACGAAGTACGGTCGCGGCCGCGCAGCGTCTCCAGAAGCAGAAGAGACTCCAACGGCCTGGTACTCAGTACCAGCAGGAGCTCCAACGACCGAGTCCTCAGCACCAGCAGCAGCTCCACCAGGTGGGTCCGCAGCACCAGCAGCAGCGCCACCCCGAGGGTCCGCAGCACCGCTAGGAAGAGCACCCCCAGAGTCGCCAGCTCCAGAGTCCCCAGCTCCAGCAGCTCCAGTCGTAGTGCTCCCAGAACAACCAGTCCCGGCAGCTCCAGCACCCCCAGTACGAGCACCCCCAGGACGAGCAGCTCCAGCACCCCCAACTCCAGCCGAGCCACAAGGACGGCGAAAGCGCCGGACGTACCAGTCACGAAGCTGCTGCGGTGTGAGAGACTGCTCAGCACCCCGAACCGGAGCACCCCCAGACGCAGCAACCCGAGGCTCCGTAGGCTCAGTAGCAGCACCCCCAGGCTCAGTACCCGCAGGCACAGCACTCCCAGTCACAGTACCCCCAGGCTCAGCACCCCCAGGCGCCGAACTCCCAGACGCAGCAACCCCAGGCTCCGTAGGCTCAGTAGCAGCACCCCCAGGCTCAGTACCCTCAGGCGCAGTACCCCCAGGCTCGGCACCCCCAGACTCCGTACACGCAGGCTCAGCACCCCCACTCGTAGCACCCCCAGGCGCCGAACTCCCAGGCACAGTACCCTCAGCTCCAGCACCCGCAGTCCCAGCACTCCCAGGCCCAGCACCCGCAGGCTCAGCACCCCCAGGCTCAGCACTCCCAGCAGCACCACCTGCAGCAGCACCTGAGTCACCTGTGACCTCGACAGGCTCAGCGACGGGAGGAGGGTCTACCTGAGAGACACCTGAAGGAGCAGGACCCTGAGGGGGAAGGGGGTCTACCGGAGGGGGACCAGGAGCAAGGAAAAGCGGCGGGGGAGGGAGGGGGGCAGTGCGGTAGGGGAAGAGACGGTAAAAAGGGACCGACTCGTCAAAGGTGACGTCCTGAGAGGCGAAGACCCGGCGCGAGGTGGGGTGGTAAAACTGCCAGCCCGGCGCGTCAGGGACAAAGCCAAGGAAGACACAGGGAAGCGTGCGGGAGGAGAGCTTGTCCGCGGACGTATCGCGGACAAGGGCACGAGCACCCCACACCCGGAAGCGCGACGCATCACCAACCTCCCCCGTCCACAGCAGTGTGGGCGAGGTCTCCGGCAAGGAGACACGGGGCCAGAG